CAAAAAGAAAAAAAAAAAAATTGGGGGTGTGATAAGAATTCTGCACCAATTAGCGAGATTATGGGTAATCAACGATGAGTGATGTGTGCGTGATCATAGGTAATCAACGATGAGTGAATGATAACGCCAGATTGTAAATGACAAAGAGAAATTTTAAAGTGGTTTGGCGAAGTTAACAGCCTACGTCCACTTTGTTTTTTGTATATGTTGTGAGAACTTACAATGTAGTTTTTATCCAGAAATCGTATCCCCCTTCTCATCGTTTTAGGGGGTTTATATATAAGATTTACATAAAGGAAATAGTGAAATTAAGGGGATTACAAATGGTTTGAATCATAATTCTAATATCCTTGTGATTGGGATCTATGATCGCGCAATGACAACTGTTAATCTAGTCATTCCCGCGATATTCGGGATCTGAAGTAATCTAGGGATTGATTGATTAATTCCTCGAATTGTCCATGACTAGCTTGTGCTGGGTTGAGCTACGACTCGACGAGCTTATGCTGGGTCAATCAATCATAGTTGTTGAGATCATTCTAGGTCGAGCTATATCTCATCTTGGCCCTAGTGTTTAATGCTTGTTTCGGGCTTGAAAACTATCGCTCGATTTGATGCCAAGCTCAGCTTTAACAGTGAGTCTCTGAGTGCATGCCCGATTGGGCTTCCATGATCGACCTTACGTTTGGTCGACGTTCATCACACTTGGACTTTATTACCTGTGCCACCTGTCAAAACACAGAATATAAAAAATCAGGGCATAAATGTAATTTCTATGTGGTCATGTTGCATTAAATGCGACAATATTTGTCAGTTACGTTTCGTCGCATGTGGGCGATAACAGCTGTTCACGTGTAAAATTGAGGCGTCGTGCGGTGATGGTTATCATTGTAATCAATTCGATGGTTCATCATACCTCATGGATGGTTGACACGTGGCCACGTCTAAGGGCTGAGATTGCTCAACGAACGAAAGGCTAGGATCAGTTGTAAGTCAATGGTTGAGATTGAACTCTGCCCATTCGTCTTCCATGCAAAAATCACTGGCGAATATTGTCAAAACAAACTCTCTGAAAGTTCTTCCACCCTCTTGCTTTTCTTTGCCGTTGCTCTTACGTCTTCGTACTGGTATTTCTTATGGGTTCTCAGAACTTTTCTTTATTCTGGTTAGACTTCTTTCTCTTCCTTGCTCATTTTTCTGACTTTTGTGCTAAAGGGTGGCTGATGTAGTGGCCACATTGGATGTTTTAAGGTTTTAGTAGGGCTTTTAGGGTGCATTTCCAGTGGTCTTAGGTTTTAAAGGGATTTAATCGAGGTGGCCGCGGGTGTCCTTGATAGGTCTCATGACTTCGTTGTGTTACGCGAGCTATTTCGGGTGCTTGAGATAAAAGCGAATGTGGAATGGTCGCCGAATTGTTCAAGCTCTAATACATGTTCGCTTCTTTTTTCAGCTACCCAAAGTTGAGTTACAACCATGTCCTTGTCTAGCAGTCACACAATAGATCGAACGTTTGATTCACCAGTTGACTTGGTAGCATTAGGGGATGCGTCCCCCGAGATATCCAAAGAGTTTGTCGCCAAAAGCTTGGACCCCGACACTGTGGGCTTGTTCGACCGTGCTTCGATCCAACTTACTCATTCCCTGCTGTCTCCAACTCACAAGCTACGAAAAGAGCCATAATCCTTGATCACCCTCGAGGATTTTGAACGCATCAGAGCGACCTACGCGCCGCATGTCAACTTAATGGTCCCGGGAGAACACTCTCGGAAGAATCCTCCAGCCGGATGGGTGGCAATTTTTGAGATACCCCGTACCCTTTCATCGATAAAGTGTTGAGACGATTCGAGATCGCTCCTCTCCAACTGACGGCCAACTCTTACTTGATCATTACCGGGGTATACATCGCGTACATGATTTGTTGAGCTAGACAAGCCATCCGTTGAAGAGTTTGTCCACTTGTACAGGCTCAAAAATGGGCAAGGTCAAACGTACTATCTTTCCAAGGTGAGAAAAGTACATTTCAAAGGGCTGGTCGATGTCCTGAAAAAGGTCCCACATTGGAATTCCCAATTCTTCTTCTACCAAGCTGAGACGAGCGGTGTCTTCGCTCTAGAAGCAAGTAAGGCTTTGGTAGCTTGCGTACACAGGGACAAGTTTCGAGCTTTGCTTCATTATCTAACCGAATTACTTTCTATTGCAGTTAACTTCGAGTAGAACTATCTCCCAATGGTGAGCTTGCAAAGGCTGCAACGTTTCAACGATCTTCCTGACAATTCGTGCAACGTCCATGAGCTTCTTACGTTTCCTCACCTAAAGGCGTACGGCTTTTGTAGGGACGAGGCTAGATTTTTAGCGCTTTTGGAAAAAGGTAAGTTGTTGCTTGCTCGCGTTTGATTTCCTTCGCAAATTGATTGCTAACTCGTTTCCCTTTTTCCTTGCAGAAATATGGGTTGAAAAACCCAAAATCCTTAAGAAGAAAACGGCGGCCTCGGTGGTTGCCTAGAAGGCGCCGGCTGCTCCAGTGACAAAACAGCCTGCGGATGCTACCGGCACGAAGCGCAGCGGAGGCGAGCTTGTGAAAGGCCCAAGCGTGAAGAATCCACAATTGCCTCTAAGGCGGTTGGTGGGAAGAGCGCCATCGGGCCCACTGTAAAGCATCGAGTAGCATGATGTCTTAGGGAAGAAGAAGGTGATTGAGCCTTAAGGGCGCTTGGGCAAAGAGGTCGCCACGCAGGCTGGCGGCCTTCAGAAAAGCGTGGCCAAGAAAAATCCCGCCCCTGCCGGTGCGGCAACTACTACAGAGGGGAGTAGACCTGGCTCGTCCAAGCCAAAGGATGGGGAGATGAGCTAAGCGAGCAAGGCTGACGTCGATGCTTTGATCAACCAACTCCTCGACCATATCGGTGTTAGGGCCGTGGTGGCTAGGGATTGCATCACCTCGCGAACATTCGCTGTCATCAGAGACTCGACACCCTCCCAAATATTGGCCTTAACCTGTAGCTACGTGGCTAAGGTACTGGTAGCTCGCTTCCTTTTTTTGAATGATATTTTTGTTTCTTGCTCGCTTCTCACCTTTTCATTTTTAGGTTGCCACAGCGAGCCAACTCTTGTATGAAGAATGTGGCCAAACCTTGGAGGGAACTCACAAGGGATGGATGTTGGCGGAGACGGTAAAGGAGGATGCCTTGGCTAGGGCCGAGGTTGTAGAGAAAGAGAGAGAGGCTAGGCAAGCCGAGCTTGAACGCTTTAAAGAGGAAGTTGCGGCCTTTGAGGTCAAGGAAACAGAGTTCCTTGACAAACTCAATGCGAGCGAGGTTGCTTGGGGTAAAGCTGAAGCCAAGGCAATAAAGGCTGACCAGAGTTTGGCTCAACAACGAGGAGCTAACAAGAAGCTAAACTCTGAGCTTCCTCGGCCTAGAAAGCAGTAGCGAGCTGAAAGGCCAAATTCAAGCAGACTTCGCTCGACCTTACCTAGGAAACGGTAGGTTGGCAAAATCCCGAAACTGAGGCCGAGCAACTCAAGCTTAGGATTGAGGAGCAGAACGAGGCCGTCACTACCCTATCTTGGGAGACATCGATCTTCCTCATGTAGAAATTATGGGAGGCTCATCCGTCAATCGACTTTTCTTTCCTTCCGCGAGCTTATCAGAAATAGGTCGAAAGGATGTAGGTCGAGGCTCAAGAGATGACCTACGTGTACTCGGATGACTCCAAGGATGACGGCGAGGGCTAGGAAAAGGTCGAGGAGGGTGGCGAGAAGGCTAGGCCCAAGCTGGAGGTCGAAGACCTGGTTCCTCTGACCATAGTCCTCCCAAGCGAGGTTCCTAAACAAGAGGTCAAAGACGAACGCCCTGCGCCCCCATCAGCCTGAAAAATCTTAATCTTTTTTTTTTGTTGCTCGAATGTTATTAAACTTTTAGTTAATGAAAGAACATTTTTCGACGTTTCTCTTTCGAATAATGATTGTTTCATTTCTGTAGATTCATTTAATTCGTTCTAATTGGACTTTGGGATCCGAATTTTGCTCCAAGTCATGCGTAGTTCGCTTCTTTAGGAGATTTTCGGATTTTTTGCGAAAAAACCTTTATGCAACGTTTGGCATCAATTTCGGACTCGTCATCCTTTTCGGGCTTTCGTCGCTGGCTTAAGGCCGATTTTTTCTGATGTGTTTTTTCTTAGATTTTTCTAAGTTTAACTTCGTCGACCTTTGATTTTTAATCCCGATTTATGTGAAGAAATCTGATGCGACGATAAACTTCAATTTTAGACTTTACTGTCCCTTTCGAGTTCTTTGGTCGCCATTATTTTTGGGATGATGGTAAGGGTTGTTGACACCAACATCGATGAGATCTAGACGAAATCGAACCGATTTCGACTAAATCTTAAATAGATTTTCTGGGGAGTGGGCTTAAAGAATGATTGAGATTGCATTTGGAGTGTCGCCGCTGCTAACCAGTCGTTAGCTAATTTGTATTGAGGATATGTTTGTTAAATTTCAAACCTATAAGGGTGTATATGTGAATTTTTAAAGTTGTCACCCGATTTGACTAACCAATTAAACTGGTCAACCCAAAACCTAACAACTTTTCCGAGTTTCGCCTAGGATTGGTTATTAAAACATTATCTTATTAGTTAAAATTGTATTTATATAATATTCAAAAATTGTTTTCAATTTATAAACTATAGGAAGCCGTGAAAATTTTAATCATTTTCAAATTTCACACTACTTTTTAAAATTGTGATCGAAAACTATATTCAAAAACATTTCCACCTCATGAGATTTTTGAAAAAAACAAAAAATGTATTTAAATTCTACATCAACCCGCCAAGTTATCGGTATTCCCACTCTTTCTTATTTATTCCTAATCTCAAGCCAATATGCACTTGCCCTTAATCCCAACAAAACACTTCCACAGAAAAAGGCACTAAAAGTGATTCTAAAAGTACTTCAAACAAATCACTTCATGAGATGAAACACAACGAGCAATAACACATTACCTCACAACACTCAATCTGGCAAATCTGAAAAGAAAGTAGAAAAGACCAACATGGTTCCTGAGCAAGGACTCTTCCGCCACTGACTTAGCCCAATCACATTCGCACAATCAATAGAGAAGGCTGTTGGCTGCATACACACCATGTAAACGATGTCTCCTGGACCTTCATTCCATTGAATGTGAGGGCAAAAGTCAGTTTCCAATAGTCCAGTCAAACTGAAATCAAGCCCTGGTAACTGAAATGAGGGTTTACATGTAAACAGGCTATAACCATGTACATGGTTCTCAGAAGATGTAGTCTGGGCGAAGGAGGGAGAACTCTGCCACCTCAGCTTCAAATGGACCACCTTCTGGGTCTGCCAATCTGCAGGAACAGGATATCGACACATTAGGAAATAGCATTAGAGGTTACTAATATTAATACGAACAGACATGAACGGTTCAAATGGAAGCAAAGGAGAAGTAGATTAATGATGAAAATGATAATGACAATATTAATATGATATGATGTTCAAGGTTGAAGGCTGGCATTAACAATATGAAAACTTCAACATGTTGCCTCCCCAGCCCGGCCATTTTAATAGTAGAAGCCGAGGAGCTTAGACATTCTCCTCTTCGCTAGGCCAATAAATGCAAGCGACTAACTCAGGCTCACTTTGACTGAGTAATGGACAAGCCTGAATAAGTTTATTGATTAACATATCATGAACTATTCATTTCTTGAACAGAATTCTCTTCAGAGATACTTTTTCTGAACACAAATATGTGTTCTTTTTAATTGCTTCTGAATGCGGACTGAAAGGTAGCAGTTGGTACATATCAATGGGGCCCCTTTTTTAAAAGTCGGACCAATAATAAAGGTTCAATTGAAGAATGCTGCTTCAACATGTAAAGGATTTATATGAATTACCTGCCAGGGACAAATGTAAATGAACCTTTGACGGAACCTGATGAAGTTGGTAGGGGTGTGCCGCTCTCATAAACAAATTCTTTCTCCCCTGGACGCAGGAGTGGAAACTGCAAACATAAGTGAAGAATGAGATGGCCAAGGCTTCTCATAGAAGCAAATCTTCATTATAGTCAATGTAGGGTTACGGATTTATAATGAAGAAACTGGAGATCTGAAAAACCTGCCAGGAGAATCAGGAAGTGTATGATATTTTCTTTTTCTTTTCTCTCCTATAAACAATAGAATATGTTAAATACTATGATAGGATGTTTGATCTGGCGGTGAGTTGTGTGACTTGAATTACACACAACATTTGTGTATTATGACGGTCCAACCTAAAAAGACATTTATCAAAGGCAGAACTATTTTGAGATGAAAAAGCCCAAATTCTCCTCAGTAAGAAAAAATTCTAACATGACTCTATCACCAGAATGATTTCCTATTGATGTTGAAAAACACCACCTTCCTATGCAGCAAGAACATGTTGACAATGATAACGAAAAAGCACTCGTTTATTGTCAATAAGGCTTCAAACTAAGGGTGGCCATATAATTTAATAAAGCACCAAATAAGATGAAAATATTAATGTAATAATTGAGTCCACTTAAATTTTTTGAAAGAAGAAATACAAGTAACACAGAACTTTCACTGAACATGCACAGGGAAAAAATAACAAGTGAATTGAGTCATACCATTCCAATCACAGCCTCTCCACCAATGTCCGATACTACAACATCATTAGCATGAATAGCCCAGTGCCTCCGGAGCAGCTGGCAGGAGCTGAAATTCATACCACCAATGATGCATCCTTCAGGCATGAGGGACATGCGGATTGAAAAAGCAAACAAGTACTTCTCAGAATGACCTCGAAGGTCAGCCGCCTCCGGAGTAAACACAGAAGACGCACGAACCTGCAGTAGATAATAATTCTTACTAGGTTTATAACAACAAGATGACTTTGAAAATTTTATCTTTATATCACCTATAGAATTTTCATAAAAGAAATACCTTCTATATGCCATAGATTTAATATATAGGAGCTGCTAGAGAGTGCAAATATCCAATGTTGTCCTAGCTTAAATAGTTAAATTGCTAGGATGATAAACACAAAAATTCTAGGCTCAAAGGAACACAACAAATGCAATTCATCCAAAACTCCTCAATTATGCAACATGTGGAATAGATAATATTTACTTATTAAAAAAGCACAATTTTTTTGAAACTTGAAAAGGTGTAACCCTATAAAAACATAGCTAGGATTTGCTTGTTTGACTACAATTTATGGTTCTGATTAGGAAAATTAATTTACGAAATAACTTAAAATGATTCTACACCAATTATAAAATAACATGATCTTATAACAGAGTGTTTTCAAAAGTTCAACAGAATACATATCATCCATCAATTTGGTTGTATATGCACATCAGACTCATTGTGAACGGTATGTACATAATTGCAATGCATGCTGCAGAAAGCAGCAACGACATAGCAGTCTAGAACCAATAAGAGTGCGTTTTTTTAAAAAATTTGCAAACTAGACAAAACTTTTCCATATGAGTAGATACATTACAAGAAGCAGCACCGTCACTAGACATTACACATGATAAAATACACTCTGCTAACTTTAAGAAAAGGTTTCAATTTAGTAAGGTTATTGGATTTCACATGGAATTATCAATGATAAATGTGTCATGGTACACATATTAATATACAGTACAATAAAATCTGAAAGGCAAAAGAGCTACATATGAAAGGCAATGCAGTACATACCTTCACACCATTGGTTATAGCAGTGGAACAGAGGGGAGGTTCCTCAGGAAATAGGTTAATACTTCGGATACCTCCTTTTTCACGAATTTTGATAATCCCATTTTCTAAGCGTCGGGCATGTTCTTCTAACCATAGTAGCATCGCATCCTGCTGCTGATCACTGCTAGCATTTTGCAAATTTATCAGATCATTTGGAACGCATGGAAGCATTTCTCCATCTGGGACAAGATTCGTAGTACCAACATAGAGTTGGCCATTGGTACAGTTGAGGAAGAACAACTTATAACTAGAGGTCAAAGAAGCAGCCACAAGGATATACTTAGATCTGCTGTTAAGAGATATGTCACCTGTAATCTTTCGTGTGTCCATGATTATTCGACTTAAAGGCAACAGGTACACATTAACCAGATGTCCATAAACACAGTAGCCACCAAGAAGACCCAAACCAACTCGACTATCAAAATCTTTAGCTGAGCATTCCTGACCATCACAAAAGCGATACAGAATCCTTGTTGGGACAGGCAATTTCACTTTCAAAATTTTCTCTAACTCTTGGATATCTGCTTCTGATGCACCCCTTCGAAGTGTAGCCTTTGCCTCTGGAAGGTTAATGGTCAACCAGTTTTTAAGTCTATCCCAACATCTTTTAACCCGTTTAACAAGAGGCCATGGATACATATTAAAAGACTCCCGCCATGTCTGGTATGTTGCCTGTGGAGAGAGGTTGAGAGAGCAGTCAGCAAACTGTTACTTCACGACTTAGGGAAAAGTACTAATAAATCCTATAAACTAACGCTTGACCTGAAAGCTTAAGTTGATAGATCTAACAAATCCCATCAGCTTCAAAGCACGCCAACACAACAAAACCACAACAACAAAATTTTCAGAAATTACAATGTCACAATAGTCGCATGGTGACAGTTAATGTTAATTGGTAACAAAATGACATAGTAACATTTATGTAAGCTGATAACACATTGTTGAGTAACCAAACACATTGAGTATCACTAATGACTAGTAATAAGATACTAATGCAATGTCACATGTCAGTAAAAGCTGCTACTCCAGTAACATTACCATGACTTTTTTACTCCCTATAACAAAGTAACACATTGTTGAGCCGCCAATACACATTGAATAATACTAATATCACACTATAGGATACAAATGCAATTTCACAAAGCACTTGAGGTCATTATTCCATTAACGTTACCAGGACTTTTACTCCCATCAGCCAAAGTAAAACATTGTTGAGTACCAATACACATTGAATATTACTAATATCAGAAGATACAAATGAGATGTCACGCGTCAGTAAAAACCATAATGCCGGTAACGTTACTGGGATTTTCACATCTGGTAACATACAAACTCTCCCTAAGAGCACACGCCACATCTACAAACACACAAGCAAAACAGAGAGACCCACATCAACATTTCCACCAAAAATCTCTTCTTTTTTCAATTTCTTTAATTCTCTACCCAAAACCATAAAAATCAAACAAACAAACATGAAACAAACCAATAAAAAACAGAACCCACTAGATATATCACCTATAAAAACAAAAACAATTAAATTAAATCAAAATAAAACCTTAAAGGAAGGAAGAGAGTTGCCATGAAGATCAAAGGGGGCATGAAGACCAAGTTCATCCAAGCAGATTTTGGACCACTGGAGAGACTCTTCAGAAACAGAATTCCTGAACCTTCTGTTAACACAAGCTACCATAGCGGTGTGTTTTGGGTCTAATTTTGATAGAATTTTGTTCAAAACTAGATCTCCAAGACTCTCCAAACCCATTTCTCTATCTCTCTGATTAGGGTTTTGCCTAACTTCTTTCACGGTTTCTAGGCTCTCTATCTATCCGCTTTCTGCTCTCTTCAGGTGGAAATTGTTGTGTTGCAATTCTTCAAGATTTGACTTTGTTTCTTTTTTTTTTTGATAAATCCTTCTAATTTAGGAAAATTATTATTTTCACCCTCTATCCATGGTGAAAAGACAACCTCACCCTTAGTTTTACTAACTTAACAGATGTCTTCTTTTATGAATTTTGTGTTTCCAGAATTCCAGTTTTTGTATCTTTGAAAGTATTGCAAACGATCAAAAAATACCAAGGCAGAAATTGGAAACGCATTCGGCATGGATTAAAAACATACACACACACAAAAAAAATAAATAAATAAATAAAACTCATTCTAAGTATCATTTATTTTGTTAGTCTCGAGAAGCTTGTTCTAATATATCAATTTTTTATTTTTGTTTGTAATCTTTTGTTCAAAGAGAGAAGATAAAATATAATAATTTTTTTTTTTTTTTAAACTGAGACCAACCTTTTCTCTTCTCACAAGACAAAACCATGTCACACTCATTTTCTTCGTTCTTTGTACTCAAATTGTATGGAAAACTTAAACGAACGTAAATTATTTGAATTCCAAAACAAAAAAAAAAATGAAAGTAAAATGGTGAGTTTGTAAACAAACAGACCCCAAGTTACTCTTTTTTCCTACTTATTATAACACTTAACTTTGAAAATTGAGGCTAATATTGTTGGTTCATTAATGGAAATAGAGCGAAATTGTTATTGATTTGGGTTCAAATTTTAAAAGGTTGAGCCAAGTCGAGCGGAACCTAACCATATCGAATACTTGGATATTAGGTCATTGGATGAAACCATCAACTTTTTCATGTTTAGAGGTCATTGTTTTATTAATTTGTGACATCAATAATTGTTGAAGCTTGATTGTTTGATCATACCCATCTTATACATCTTAAAGATTATTACAAATTCCATCATATGCAGCCAAGTAGTCAATATATGATCGTTGTATCTAACCTAATTTGGTAGATTGATAACTATCAATCTAACACACACTGATCGTGTTGTTGGATGTATGATGGTTTTATTGGTTTATCACTTACTAATGATTCATGCTGAAATATTTTTAATAATTCTTATTTGTAATAAACAACTATTCTTTATATATATATATATATATAGTTTATAATTATAATTCTGATTATTATAATTAAATTATATTTTAATTTGATATCTAATAACATAATCAAATATGTTGTTAAAGGGTACAATAGTAAATCTATATTTTATTAATCATTGATATACCTTTTATCAATAAACATTATAGTGATATTAAATAGTCATACATGTATCATGTATATATACTTGAATTAGATTTGTGAATCTCTTGATGTATTTAAATTCTACGTCAAACCGCCGAGTTATGGGTATTACAACTCTTTTTATTATTTATTCCTAATCTCAATCCAATATGCACTTGCCCTTAACCCACCGAAACACTTCCACGGAAAAAGGCATTAAAATTGATTCTAAAATTACTTCATGAGAAACAAGCAGCTTTTAACTAACTAAAAAAACATGCAATAACACATTACTAATACTTCACAATAGTGTTTTAATAACCAACTCAGGGTAAAACTCGACAAAGTGGTCGGGTCTCGAGTTTACCGGTCAAGCTAGTATCCAAAAAAAGTTTGAGATATAACAAAAACACTGCTAAAAATTCTATTAAGTCCCTACAGCTTTGAAACCTTGCAAAAGCAAACCTAACACCACCATTGGCATCGATAAACCAATGCAAATAAGGCTTGCTTCTGGCAATGAAAATACTCCCCTCAGCCTCCTGAACAAACCCATATCACCCCTCCTCCTACTGCTTTGCCAATCGGCTCGCTGATTTTGTTTTACGATTTTCGATTGATTCACTCATCGAAAATCACCTCTATCACCACCATTGCATCCACCGGCATTTCTTCTTTAAAAGCTCTAACATCCCAATAGTCAATTGGTCGCTGGTCACTGTCCCAATTTCTTAGGTTTTTGGTGAATAGAAAATTGATAACCCAGCCCGGTATAGGCCCTGAGTCCCAATTGAACCAGTTCAACTGGCCGGGCCGGGTTGGGTTTAAAAAAAATGCTTTCACAACACTCAATCTGGAAAATCTGAAAAGAAAGTAGAAAAGACCAGCATGGTTCCTAAGCAGAGAGGCTTTCAGCAATGACTTTTTGCATTAGAGGGTACTAAAGCATTTAAAGACACACACGGTTCAAAATGGAAGCACAGGAAAAGTATATAGATTAATGACGAAAATGAAAATGAAAATGGCAATATTAATATGATATGATTTCCAACTTTGAAGCAACAGGTTCAAGTTATTAAATGAAAATAACTTCAACCTGTTGCTTCCCCAACTCGACCATTTTAACAGTAGAAGCCGAGGAGCTTACACATTCTCTTCTTCGCTAGGCCAATAAATGCAAGCGATTAACTCAGGCTCGCTTTGACTGAGTAATGGACAAGCCTGAATAATTTTATTGATTAACATAGCATGAACTAGTCATTACCTGAACAGAATTCTCTTCAGAGATACTTTTTCTGAACACAAATATGTGTTCTTTTTAATTGCTTCTGAACGCGGACTGAAAGGTAGCAGTTGGTACATATCAATGGGGCCCCTTTTAAGTCGGACCAATAATAAAGGTTCAATTGAAGAATGCTGCTTCAACATGTAAAGGATTTATATGAATTACCTGCCAGCGACAAATGTAAATGAACCTTTGACGGAACCTGATAAAGTTGGTAGAGGTGCGCAGCTCTCATAAACAAATTCTTTCTCCCCTGGACGCAGGAGTGGAAACTGCAAACATATAAGAGAAGAATGAGATGGCCAAGTTTTCTCATAGAAGCAAATCTTCATTATAGTCAATGTAGGGTTACGGATTTACAATAAAGAAACTGGAGATCTGAAAAACCTGCCAGGAGAATCAAGAAGTGTTTGATCATTTTATTTTTCTTTTTCTCTCCTATAAACAACTCCAAGTGACATAGGAATTAAAGCCATTGTAAGTTTGTCAGTTACTATCTGCTATTTTAAAAACTTTGATAGGATTTTTAATATGTGGGTGAGTTGTGTGACTTGAATTATACAACACATTTGTGTAATATGACAGTTCAACCTAAAAAGACACTTATCAAAGGCAGAACTGTTTTGCAGATTTGAAAAAGCCCAAATTCTCCTCAGTAAGAAAAAATTCTAACATGACTTGATCACCAGAAAGATTTCCTATTGATGTCGATCACCAAGAACATGTTGACAATGATAACGACAAAGCACTTGTTTATTGTCAATAAGGCTTCAAAATAAGGGTGGCCGTATAATTTAATAAAGCACCAAATAAGATGAAAATATTAATGTAATAATTGAGTCCACTTAAATTTTTTGAAAGAAGAAATAAAAGTGACACAGAACTTCCACTAAACATGCACAGGGAAAAAATAACAAGTGAATTAAGTCGTACCGTTCCAATCACAGCCTCTCCACCAACGTCCGATACTACAACGTCATTAGCACGAATAAGCCAATGCCTCCGGTGTAGCTGGCAGGAGCTGAAATTCATACCACCAATGATGCATCCTTCAGGCATGAGGGACATGTGGATTGAATAAACAAACAAGTGCTTCTCAGAATGACCTCGAATGTCAGCCACCTCTGGAATAAACACAGAAGAGGCACGAACCTGTAGTAGATAATAATTTTTACTAGGTTTATAACAACAAGATGACTTTGAAATTTTTTTTCTTTATATCACCTATAGAATTTTCATAAAAGAAATTACATTCTATATGCCATTAGATTTAATACACGGGAGCTGCTTAAATTGCTAGGATGATAAACACTAAAACTCTGGGCTCAAATGAACACAATAAATGCAATTCATCCAAAAGTCCCCAATCATGTTAGATGTGAAATAGATAATATTTACTTATTAAAAAAGGACCAATTGTTTTTAAAACTTGAAGAGGTGTAACCCTGTAAAAACATAGCTAGGATTTGCTTGTTTGACTACAATTTATGGCTCTGATTAAGAAAATTAATTTACGAAATAACTTAAAATGATTCTACACCACTTATAAAGTAACATGATCTTATAACAGAGTGTTTTCAAAAGTTCAACAGAAATGCATATCATCCATTAATCTGGTTTTATATGCACATCAGGCTCATTGTGAACTGTATGTCATATATATTATGCCTTAATTAAACTAATTACTATGGAAGCAAAAAGATTTCTTAATCAACTGAATTAAATAACACAAATAAAAATTAATTGAAAACGAATGCAAGAAAAACCTAGGCTCCGTTTGGTTCATTATTGGGTAGTTTTGAGAATAATCTTTTGAAAAAAGTTAAATTAGGTGGGTATTACGATGTAAATTTTAAAAATTAACATAAATACCCCATATATTTATTTATTTACTAAACAGCCCTAAATATAATATTCAAAATTAACAAAACAACCCCAATCCACTCATAAATAAGAACAGCCGGCCACCACCGCCGGAGGATGGCCGGAGTTGCCGTATCGGCGTATGACTGACTTGATATTGCCGGTCGTATGTCGATATGGCCTTTTTCATCCAAATCCACCGTGGATCTGGCCATTGACGGCCAGATCTGGCCGCATTTGGTCATCAACGACAGCCAAAGATACGGCCGTCGTTGATGGTCAACGATGACCATATCTTGGCCGTCGTTGACGACTGTCTACGGGCAAAGATCTGGCCATTGACGGCTAGATCTTTGGCTGTAGATCTGACCTTTTCAGTCCAGATCCAACGTGGATCTGGTCGGAAAAGGCTATATCGGCACACTACCTGCAAGATTCAGCCGGTAGTGCGCCATTACACCAGATTCCGGCCAGATTCTGACAGTGGTGGCCGGAATCTGGTAAATTTGGGTTGTTGGGGTGTTTTTGTCAATTTTTAAAAAAAATTTTGGGGGTTGTTTGATGCATGTTTCCTACAACATGCAATATGTAGCAAGTATACTAGTCGCTCAAGTAATAGAGTGATGA